GAACATCACGTTGTGAGGTTGCCATTTAGCCCAAACTCAAGCCATAGCCGCCTTAGCGATTTGGGATTTGACGCCGATGAAGGTGAATCGTCGAGAACCTATGGAGACACTCGCTGTGAACAGCCAGCTAAACTTTCTGGTAACCTAGTGGCAGAAAAAGTGCGTTACCATCGAAATAATGCCATTTTTGTGTTCCCAAAGGTCCGTGACATCTGAGGTAAGTAGCCGTAATGAGTTTCAGGTAGTTGAGAGTGAACTATGGCTGCTCACGTGGCAGGCCCAGGAGGACGCAAATTTACCGTATCTTGGCAGAGAAGACGTTGTGGTGAGCAGTAGTTCCTCCTTCTCAATTCCTCTAAGGTGAAGTTGCTGATTTCAGAACACCATAATTTCGTACCTATCCCTAGCTCCATCACCCGATTATCGTATTGGGCGAGTTCTCCGGCGCCTTGGCTTGCTCCCGCTTGTCCATCGACTCTCTTCTTTCCATGCAATTTCACACTCGCGTTTTGCACACATTGTGCATTGTTCCATGTAGAGTGGTTCGGTTCGTCTTACTTTATTCGAGTGTAATTTTTTTGATCGGATACTAAAGGAAGTTCCATTTATTCAGTTATGCCAAGCGATGTGGCCGATGCGAAAGAGCTGCGGAATTTGGACGCGAAGTACTCAGGTAGTAATATATTTTTTGTTGCTGTTTGGTTATTCTTCAATAATAACACGATACAAGGGGGTAAGGTGCTTGAGTCTGGCTAGTGTCTTGATGATGGAATACGACGAGCAATTTTGTTCGGAAAAGAGGATTCAGATGCGTATCTGGGTGCTTGTTGACGCTGGGATACCCGATTGAAGGCCTGTCGCGCGAAGAAGGCAGGGACGCAGACGAGTCAGCGGACGAGTTGCAGCGTGCTGTGTGATATGGGACATACCACAGTACATTTTATATCCAACTTCTTGCGAAATCACTAAGAGCGCTGCCACTGATCCGCTGACACGTCTGCATTCCTGTCCTCTCGCCGCGCGACGGACCTCACGTCGGGTACTTGTTCGCTGTACAAGGTCGTATTTTGTTATGCTGACCTCTTCTATGGGTCTTGTACCTTCTTTATCCAGCAGGGGGAAGGCTTAGTTGACCTGGACAGAAATCGATCTAAGTGCTCAACAAATGGATCCTGTGGTACCTCCTGAAAGACTTCATTCACGCACAGTGGTCATTTCTAGAAAGACTGTCCTCATATCCTTGCCAGGTAAATAATGACATTCTGAACTTATATTATCGTTGTACAAGTCCTAGTACTTTAATAATATATGGTGTTAATGACAAGTGGGGGGTTGGGATGAAGGAGTGTTGCGCTTACCACGGTGAGCGATTCTCACGAACTCAAATTCTTGATGTTACGCCTGTCCAGGCCAATTCCACTGGCTCCACCCTTGCATTCGTTGATTAATTGGTTAATAAAATGTTGGTGGTGATTATCCGTTAAAGTACTGTTCAAACTATCGCTGCTTTCTTGCTATAGTGATGGTAGGTTAAGTCATCCTCTAAATCCTAGCTTGCTACTCTAAGAATGTTGATATTTCATGCGCATCCCTGAAAGGCTTGATTAGCGCTGAATGCTATATCTGTTATGCTTCCAGTAGTTGACGTAGAACTGTGGCCTTCTAAAATTATCCATGGTTCTTTTAGAGAATTCGCTAGCCATGTGGATAGCGATTTCGGCGACTCGTTTCTGGTTAAACGTCTCTGTAGCGATGACTTCACTACTCGTGTTGTTGCAGCTATAGCTAAGATTGCTCTGATCAGGTATTAGGTTTACTTCAATTTAGGTTCTTACCCCCTACCATTTTCTTTCGTTGCTTAGCCTCACGATGTTTTCTGATAAAATCATTAACCAACATAAAAATTTCAACTTGAAAGTGGATTCGGCGTTCCGGCCTGCGGTTCGCACGACTTCTTGCGCCTTAACTTCATGCCCTAGGAAGTACAATATTTCGATCCATACCAAACTTTTACTGAATAGAGAATATTTTCATTACAGATCAGGTTCGATGAATTACCACCTATGCTGGATTTGCTGAGTTCAGGGCGGTGTATTATCTTGTTGTACCTCCCTCTATTTTACAGATTATTGTAGTGCGCTTTTTCCTACCGACCTCCATTGCTTTGTGTTTTGTGTCTAACAAATTATTGCGTCCATATTCTACGCTCATATCACCTCATCTCTTTACGGTAGATGTGTTGAATTCTCTATCTAAATATTGGGTAGACGAGTTATATTTTCTGAATATTTATTCAAATTTTGGAAGTATTACGCTACCTGTGTTTCGCTCCATCATAAAAGCGAGTCAGTTGCGTGTTTTGAAGAAGTTTACGCAGTTTTGTCTTTGGGAGGGTGTGTGGTGGGTGTGGGGGGGTGGCGTGGTGGAGGGGGGGGGGGTGGGGGGGGGTGGGGTGGGGGTGGGGTGGGAACCTGCATATATTTGGGGCTCATATCCCAGCGCTGTATAGAGTATGCCATGTAACTACCTTACTTAGCTTTCAGCCCTGAAGAAAACATGGAAATGTTGGTTTTTCGAGACCAAAGAAGGAGAGGTGCTGGCTCGAGTATCGATGGAAGCAAGTCTGCGGCAGTAGTCGATATTTTCATGTAATTTTTGAGAATCTAGGAGTGCAACGGGAACCAAAGCCTACCCTTTAGCCAACCTGTTTAGGGCATGTTTGCATCGGATTTGTTCGAGAAATGCAGTGGGCGGCGAAGGTTTTTGTTCTGCCCAGAGGAAGAAGACTGCAGCGCCGAGGACTTCACACGTTTCTTGCACTACTTGGCTGGCTGTCGATCGCAGTGTACTGCGATTTCATCGGCGCACACGTGTGTCGCATTGATCAGGGTAGGTGTGATAGAAAGTAAAAGAAATAGCCGCATTACTCATCTTGTAAAAATAGCACAGGATTTTGTGGGGGATTTCCGATTTGGCGGTGCATTTATCCCGTGTAGATGGCTTCTAGGAATTTGAAGCAACACCTCTAGATCGAATTTGTGGGGTCACAGCGGTTGATAATGAAGTTGTGGATGCCGAATGACTAAAAATGAAAAAAGCAAAGAAAACCGTCGATGAAGCCCAAAACAAAAATTTCCCTTGAAAAAAGGAAGGGGCGGGGCCGGACGAGTTGTACGAACTTGCCTGCTCCACGGCTCAACTGACCCGCGCGTATTTCGTGTTTTCCACTGTTGCTAGAAGTAATTTTCATTGGAAATTCGTAACCCGAATAATAAGAATATTTTTCAGCTGTCGGACCGATACCTTTGTCCGACTCTTTCTGACTTCGTCTGTTCCCCACATGGTCCAGTACGTCGCATTTTGACTGGTGAAACTTTACCGGTGTTTCTTCCCGTTGTACTCCTCACCCAAACACACGAAAGGTCAGATTTACGTCCTACTTTTTTCGTATGGGCGCTATTTTAAGGTTTGATCGAGAATAGGTCTCAACGAAGTTATTACTCGATTTTTTAGGCTGGTAGCGATGTGTCTGCTAACGTTGATACGGTACTGCACCAGTTCGCTGGTCGTGGAAGCGCTTCGCTCCATCTGCCAGTCTCGCCTGCTTGTCGACACGTTTATCGAGCAGATGAAGGCTCTCACATCATCATGATGAGGATATTACGAGTGTTATATACGGGATATGAATGGGTGTCATTGCTATGCACAAACTGGTAGTAATAAATATATCTGAATAGAGCTTGACAAAAAACAAAGCCAATGTTTTCATGGCATTAGAAAATAAACAGTTTGCCTAATAAAACAATTTTGCTTCAGGAAAAGAACACTCAAAAGCAAAATATTTTCGTTGGGGATCTCATTGTCAGAGGAGGTTTTTCTTAAAATTATCTGTGCGGCGAACGATAAACGTCCTGATCATGTGTAGAGAAAGTGCTCGTGATCCACGGTGGAACTAGCTCCCCTTTACTAGACGAAAGTTTTGTCCACATATGGCTTATGAGATGGGTCATTTCATCCTACATGAGATATAGGCTGTCCCTCCATCGGGATTGGGAAGACGATCAGTTCGAGTTCTTCGTCCGTTTAAGCAGCCTGAGTATGATTCATGGAATCAAGTAAAATCACAGCTATCGCATTGCCTGGGTGTTAGTAGGTGAGATTTGTAATTTCAGAAAAAAAATGAAATAAAGTAAACAAGAAGGTCAGCATTGATATTTGAATAAAATCCGGCCTAACAAGAACACGTAATTAAATACATGAATAAATGAAAAAATAAAAATGCAAATAAATAAATAAACAAAGTTATTTGGAATTCCAGTTGTAAATCATCCGCAAGTAACCTCCCCTTCAAAAAGCGAGAAAGTGTCGGGTGCAGACCAAACACCACAACTGACGACGGCCTCCAAGTAAATCTGGTTAGAAGTTGTTCATAGTGATAGCTGATTTCTGGTAAATGATAGTTGTAATTAGTGACAATCGATAGAATACAACTGCAACAGGCTAATCATTTCATTGGCAGAAAACATTAACATTTTGTGAAGGCCGTCGTCACTTGTGGTGCATGGTCTGCACCCGACACTTTCTCGCTTTTTGAAGGGGAGGGTACCAATAGAATGGGCGAAGAAGCGGCGGAGGGGTACCCCCACAGGAGGCCCGTCGCGCGGCAAGAAGGCCGAGTCAGCGGACGAGTCGCGCGCGTATTAGGGAAATCGCGTCAAGTTAAATAGAATGTCCCATTGCACGTCCTTCATCGCACATCACGCGCCGCGACTCGTCGGCCTTCTTGCCGCGCGATGGGCCTCCTGGGGGGGTACCCGGGGGGTGAGAG